TCTAAAAGTATTTCTATTATATTTAAATTTTCTTTTTAAATATTTATATAAAAAAAAATATATTATTTATAATTTCAAATTATATTAATTTTGTTTTTCCATTGCATTTTAAATTTATTTTTTCATTAAAAATTTACTTTTGGAAAAAATTCATATTGTCATTAATTTAAAAATAAATACATTAAATTTTATGGTTCTTTTATACTATTAAACACACATTATATGTATATACATCATATGTGCAATTGAAAAATGATATTAAATATATATATATATATATATATATTTTTTTATACATTTAAATGTTTTATGAAAAAAATAAAAAAAATAATAAAAGTTAATTGTGTGTGTTTGGTTTCCATTATTTTTTTAATTTTGAAGCAATGTTAAAAATTAAAAATTTATGGTATTCATTTTTTACTTTAAATATTTCTTTTTAAACCTAAATATATACAAAAATGAGTTTAAATGATTTCAAAAAAAATATTTCTTTTTTTTTTGACATTCCTTTAACCTATATTCCTCTAAATTTTTTTAAATAACTTTCTTTCAACTTTTAAAAACCTATTTAGATTTGAAAAAATTAAAAAATTAAAAATTCAAAATTTGCCATTGTTTTTGAATTTTTTTTTCTTTAATTTTTTAATTTTTTTTGTTAATATTCAATAAAAAAAAAAAGCAAATAAAAAATTCTTTGAAATTCTAATAAAATTCATATTGAAATTTTTTTTATTTTTATTTTTTTCTTTTCATTTTTTGTATAATTGGTTTTTTAATTTTAAAATTAAAAAAAAAAATGATTTTTTTTTTAAAGAAAAAAAATTTTTTCTTTCAATTCAAAATAATTTCATTTTTTTTTTCTTTTTTTTTAAAATTAAAAAAATAAAAAAATTATTTTTCAATTTATTTATTTTTAAAATATCAAATTTTCTTTCAATGTTTTTTTAAACTTTTCTTTTCTTCCTTTATGTTTATTTTTTTCAATTAATATATTCATATTCTATAAAATTTTATTTCTTTCTTTCTTTGTGTGTTTTTTTTTTTTTTTTCTTTTATTCAATGAATCATTAATATAAAAATTATAATAAAATGTAATGAATAAATTAAATATTTTTTTTAAATTTTAAATTATATCATATATAAATTTTTTTTAATTCTTTTTTTTTTTTTTAATTTAGAATGTTCTAAAATATTTTTTTATGTTCTGTTTTTTTTTTTTTTTTTATTTTTATTTTAAATAAATTTTTTTTTTTAAAAAAATTCAGGTAATAAAAGGAAATATTTTTTTAAATCAAGCAATATTTTTTTTTTATTGTTATTTTTTTATTTAATATAATATATACAATTATACATAAATATCATTATATATATATATATATATATATATATATATATATATATATATAAACACAAACATATACAGGGTGCAATGGATAAATTGTCGTCTAAATTATGCAAAAATGAAAATAACACTGACATCTCATTTTAATCAAAATTACTAAAAAATATCTTGAAATACTAAAGAGTAAATTTATTCAATAAAATCACCATTAGCTTCAACCACAGCCTCCAGACAACTTTTTGAATCTCCTGCAACTCTTCTGGATGGTCTCCTTGTTTAAGTTGGTGAATGCTGCCATAATCCTTGCCTTCAGTTCATCTTTTTGGTGTTACAAGGAGTTCTGTTGATCTTTTGCTCAACTGCACCCACACATAATAATCAAAGGGCTTCCAGCCTGGGGAGTTAGATGGCCAGATGTAAGGGGTGTGTTGCAGAAATTGTCTGACAGCCATGACTGGGTTCTCCTGCTTGTGTGGCATGGTGCAGAGTCCTGTTGTCAAACATAGGATCTTCCAGCAGCCACCTTCTTGACCCAGGGTAGCACTACCTCTTCAAGGTACTTGATGTAGGCTTCCATGTTGAGTCCGAGAATTTGGGAGTTCTTTTCTTATCAGAATGATCAGAGTGATTTTCCAAACCAAACACCTTTCATAATCACCATTAGACTCATCCAACTCTTTTCTGAATCCTCTGCACTGTCCTCAGATTGACACCCAAACACTCTGAAATGTTTGTATTGGAGCTTCTGCATGAATGCCAAGCAGTACAGCATGCCATTTCCAAATTTCTGGTGGAGTGAATTGCATCATGGTTCTTTTTTCTCACAGATGGTGCCCAACTGACCCTACTATACTGTGCAATGTAATTATTTTTGAAATTCATCACCCAAGACTGTTATCATTTATTTTAAATAAAATATTTATGTGCAAGTACTGTCCTAATTTGTAAGTTTTTTTTTTTTTTATATGATATGATATTATATAATTTTTAGTTAAGCACTATATTTTGCATTCATTTGCTACATTTTTTTTCTCCATGAACTTGGAAAAGTTTTTTACAAAAAAATTTTGATTTATTGATTCATTTCTTGGCTTATAATCATTGCAGGTTTTTAAAGGAAGAATAATTTTTTAGATTTAAAATTTTTTTTTTTTTTTTTTTTTTTTTGAGATACTGATTTAGTGATACAAATGTTACTAATTAACCTATAGATGGAGAGAGAAGAGGTGGATTCATACCTTTCCCAAAGGTATTTGTGCGTAAGTGAAGATAACGAACACAATGGGAATTGGAACTCAGCTCTACAATTAATAATTCCAACCATACAGTAGCTGGTATTCCCAAGCAGTCAGCCATGTTGGTACTGACCAGGCTTGATGTTGCTTAACATTGATGATAGTTACCAGAACTGGTGTTCCGTGATGTGGCGGTAAACCCTACCTGAAAACAATCTCAGCAAAAGGCACTATACAAGAATAACAGGATAAGCATTTTAGAAATTTAGAAAATTTATTTATGCATTTTTGGGGTGGGAGAACAGTTTATTTTTCAGATTAACATTTCAAATGGATATACATTTCCAATTAACCTTCAGTTTTTCTCTTTTTTTCTTTACTTGCCATTGTATAAAGTTTGTTTTTTAATTCTGTTGGACTGAAGACTCCATACTCAGTTATTATACCACCTGTAATCAGGTCAGCTGGTGTGACATCAAAAGCTGGATTCCAGCAATTTATACCTGGAAGAAAGTTGTAAAAAAGAAAAATATCAATATGTGAATTGGTCAAAAAGTAATGTCTTTTCTTCTCTAATTACATTTAATAGTAGAAGCATACAAAATTCTCAGAACTTGTTGGTTCCAATTACTGTGGGAACATGTGTGCAAAAACATCTCCCTCCCACAATTTACAGACAAATCGTACAGATGCATATTAGGATTTCTTCCTAGGCCAGTAAAAAGGCCACTATTTTTCTTGGTTTCAAATGCCATATTTCTATTCTTTTTCGTTTTGAAGTAAGAACGCTGTGATTACTTGTCTGTATCCTTTTTGTCTGTTAACACCATTCTTAATTTGTGAACCTTTTAGTTTTAAGAATACTGTTTTTTTTTTTTCTAAATTTTTCTTGCATATATTGTTTTTTGCTTTTTATTATTTTTTGCCCCTGTTCTTATTATTTATTGCAAACTTTGTCAATTCTGTTTGTTGGGTATTTTATAATTAATTAAATTAATTCATTCTCAATTGTTTTCAGTCCAAATTAAAGAATGAGGATGTGTAGAACATTCTGATATTTTTTATGAGTTTTTCTCTCACTTAATCACTGGACAACTGTTGTCCTCTGAGTGCCTCTTTCATGTTGTACATCTTCAAGGCAGCAACCAACCACTGTTCCTTCATGGAGTCTGTCAGAATACTAGGAACCCACTTTGAAAATCTACTGTTTGATATTCATAAATTTATCCCATCACTTTTATCCCTTCACCACAGAAGGAAAGAAACCCCAACTAAAGACATCCCATTTGAATGCACCTATTCCCTTGTACAAAAGGGACTTGAATAACATTGAACATGACAGACAATCAAGAAAAAGAAAATTTTTACCATAGTTCTTATGTTTATGAAGGTTTTATTTCTGCTTTATTTATTAAATGATTTGATATCAATACTTTGTTGGTCTTGGTATATTCAAAATCATTTATTTTTTAAAGACTTAATCTGATTGTCATTGTAAAAATAGTATTTCTCATTAAACAGACCAATATTTGTTGGTTTAAATATGAATTGAGAGGTTTCTACGATTTTATTTTGAGAAATATTGCCATTGTTCAATATATAGAGAAAACAATATATATATGTATACATATATGCAGAAAACAAATGAAAAAAATGCTTTTTTTTCTCCCAAAATGAGGATTTCTGTACAGCAAAAAGGTAGCTAACCAAGAAAAAGTAAAGTCATTTTCAGATTTAGCACCCTCAAATTGGCTAAAAATGATGTTTGATGTCTTGACATTATTTTAAAAATATTTTTTGTTGACCAGTGTTATCAGTGATTTTTCTGATTAATCATTAAATAGTGGGTATCATCAATTGAATTTTCAATACAGGTATCATTAATTCACTATTCGAGTAAATAACTAAATGGTAACTCTAAGATTCATGAGGTTATAGCATTTCTTGGAGTATTTGCCTGCAAATAAAACTGGAAGAACAAGCCAAAGAGATTACTCTATCTGCATGCACACTTCTCTAACAGAAAACAGATGACAACTTAGTTCATAGAATGTACATCTATTGTGCATGAAATGCTTCAAAGAGAATCATACTGTTAAAAAATATTAAATTTAGGAAGCTAATATTTGTTTTATTTCTTTATTTTTATAATCTAAAAGCTAAAATGACATTTTTATATTGTATATAATTAAATCAAAAGTAAGCATGAAAGCTATCTTTGTTTTTTTTTCTCAAATTTTCTCATTTTTTTTTACCTGTTTAGAATGCATGTTCATGCAACCTTTTCCCACTATTAAAGAGTTAAATTAACTAATGTCATTTTATTTTCAAAGACTGTTACTACATAATCAAAAAAAAAACATTCTTACTGATGGGAATTTAGCATTTGTTGCAACCATTTCATGAAGTAAAAGTCAATTAGCACATTCCCAGTTTATGATATAAATTTTACAGGGACATTTTTGAGGGCTCCTGCTCACTGAAACTTCTATGTATAGAGCTTGAGTCTTTTATGGTTGGTCTCTTATCCACCATAACATACCAATTCATTGGATGCAGGTTAATATTTTCATATCTTTTGTGTGGGAAAAATGTCTCTCATAGACTGAAAAGCATGGTAGCTGCTCTCTAGTTGAAGTAAGACATGAAGGGTCAAAATCCCTAATCACAAAATCAGGTCAGCAAAAGAATAAGTTTATGAGTATCCAAGTTTAACATCAAGAATTTCCCTTTTTTTCATAATGTTCTTCAGAGTTAAAACCTACCTTCAGGTGCAATGACAACGTCTTTGATTCTGGTCATCTCCTTGTGGCTTCTTTCTTCAATCACAATATTGTCTCCATTAGGAAGGTCCATGTCACAGGATGTACTGGGGGCAGCAACATAGAATGGAACTCCATGGTATTTGGCAACAATAGCAAGCTGGTAGGTTCCTATTTTGTTGGCAGTGTCACCATTAGCTACCACTCGATCAGCTCCAACAACCACAGCTGAGATCTTTTTGGTTTTCAGTAACATAGCAACCATGCTGTCACAAATCAAAGTGCCTGGCATTTGCTCATGGAAGATCTCATAGGCTGTCAATAAAAACCTTTGGTTATAAGGATCATTTTCTGTGCAGTTAAATAATTTTCCTTTTGATTTTTGTTCATGCAGGACAACAACTCCTTTAAAATGGAATGAAGATGTAATGATGAAAATTAATTAGAATTTGATTAAACTATCATCTATGAAAAAAAAAACTGTGTGTGTATATGCATCTAAAGATTTCTTGGAAAAGGTTCTAGAAAGATTTCAGTTGTGATATTTGAGAAGAAACACTCATTGATTGATCCATTCATTTTCTACAGCTTATCAACCCTTTACAGGTTTTATTTAAAGCCAGAAAATATTTTTATATTGTAATAATTTTTTTTTCTTGAGATAATGGTTTAGTGATAGATGTCTTACAAATTAACCCATAACTGGAGAGAGAAGTGAGGACTTATATCTTCCTCAAGGATATTTGTGCATAAGTGAATATAATGAATCCAACAGGAAGTGGAACTCGGCTCTCTAATTAACAATTCCGAGCCATTATCCGTTACACCACCCACACATCCGAGCTTACAGCACCTGGTATTCCATGGTAGTCACCTATCTAGGTATTGACCAAACTTGACGTTGCTTAACTTTTGTGACAGTACAGGAACCAGTGTTTCAACAAGATGTGGCCATACGCCAAACACTCATTATATATAATTTACAAACTTATAGGAGTCACTGAATGCATCTTGTGTACGTGAGTTGGCATAATGGTTATCAGATCATTAACAGTAATTTCATTCCCCATTAGGTACTTCATAAATATGGTCTTGTATTAAAGTATTTTTATCCAAAAAATATCCACTGAAAGCTTCAAATAGAATACCTGTTTAAGTAAAACAATTTCTATCCTTTATAATGGAAGCCACATTAAATAATTATAGAAATTAAAATGAAATATTTATAAAGATTAATGTAATAACTACCTGCTTGCAAGTCACTTTGGTATATTTTGCATGCAACTAAGGCATGTCATTTTAACAACTGTTTCATATGTTTTTGTTTCCAACTATAAAATATTCATGTTATTTTAGTCATTGTAAAACGTTTAGCATTTAATTCAGATTTTGTCAACAGTTATTATCTGTATTGATAATAAATAGTAGAAATATAATCAGAAATTAAAATTACCTTTTGACAAAGTGGAAAGTTGAAAATTACAAAGAAAAAGGTCATTTATCAATAATAAGTTTTTAAAACTTCATTATCAGTGCACTGATGCAGTAATTTCTCACCCACCTTATTCTAATTTGTTATATTTCTAATAATAGTAGTGCTTATATGATAGTTCCCTGCTACTCTATGTTTTGGTCTTTCTCCACTAGTTTTCCTCCCCTTGTGCTTATTTTACATCCGAGATCTTTAGGCAAAGTTGGTTGAAAAGTCTGTTAAACAAATCCTGTTAAAATAAAAAAAAAAGTGATGTGCAGGAAGGATAGATGAAAAATTGATTATAATAACAAAAAGAATGCATCTAGGGTAACAGATTTCTACATTAACCCTTACCCATTCAATTGGTTGTGGTTTTCCTATGACCAGTCAGTCAGTTTTTATACACTCAAACTTCACTGGTTTGTTTGATTAGTAACTGGTTTAATATATTGAGGAAAGTATGATGTCAGGCCTGCAACTAGAGTTGATTTTCAGTCTTCCTCAACTTGAAATTCTTAATTTGAAAATAAATCTTCTCTTCTTAGGCCCTTTCAATAATAATCTTGCAAGGGTGATAGAGGAGGGATGCAGTGTTTTATCAGTTAGTCATGGCTCCTAGCAACACCAACCTAAGGAACAAAATTGAATGGCTCATACTGAAGATCACATGGAGTGGTTGGGGCTTGAGATTTGGGGAATGATCTGTAAGTTCCAATCAATCACTTCTCACATTCTTCCTAAATTTGATTTTTGTCCCATTCCAGAATTGTTACTCTTCTATTTCTTTGGTTCAGATCACTCTTGCTACTGCTATCAGTTTGAGACCAGGCTTGTTAGGTTAACATATAATTCACCTTCAGCCAATTAAAATATGATGTGAAAATAATTTTCTAGCATCAGCATTTACTATATTAAATAACACATCCATAGTATTTTCCTTAATCCTTACAAATTTTTCTCATATGCATTTTCCAAACTCAAGACATTTTTCTTTCTGGTCAGGAGTTCAATAAACTTTATTCATAATCAACAGGTATCAAAGTATTATCTTTTGACTTCTGGACTTTATGTAAACATAACCTTTTTTAAATAAGTTATTTTTTTTGTACCATTATGGGTTCTCTTCCCAAAATGTGTTTTTTCATTTCTTCTTTCTAATCTTAGTACAAAGAAACTGCTTTCATCTGTATAAACTAAATAACCTACAGGTAGTTTTGGTTTAGTTTTAAAATCCAAATTACCCAAATTGGCCTTTAAAGCCTTTCACATTAACCCTTCAAGATTAACCCCAATCTGGTCAGTTGCCAACTGTAGATTTCATTTGCTTGTAATATCCACACTAGTAATAGTGTCACACTTAATTATTGTAATACTCAATGTTTACATAACATGTGATAGCATGGGTAGGATTTATTAAGCAAAGATGGCAAAAACTTTCATTTACTGTAATCATTATATATTTAAAAAAACAGATATTCATTACAAGTGAAAATATTTAAGATATGGATTAACCCCTTGAAAAGTAGACACAGTACCACAAAATTGCAGAGTGAGGGACATAACAGCAAAGATTAATATGGACAATTACAGTTAAGTAATTCTTCTGTGTGTGTGTATATATATATATATATATATATATATATATATATATATATATATAAAAAAGTAGGTCAGCAAAGGAATAAGTTTGTTGATATACAAATTTAACATTAACATTTTACTTACTGTAAACAGTCTTATAATTCTGCTTGTCCCTCCTTTTGTTCCTTTATTAGCATGTATGTTACAACCCTGCCAATACTTTCATAAATAATAGACTATTCCATTTTGATTATATGCAAAGATGGAAAAGACATATCAGAGATGTTACTTGATTTGAGTGAGAAAAATAAGGGAAAGAAAGAAACACCTTGCCAATACCTCATAAATAATGGATTGTTGTATTTTGATCTTGGCAAAAGATTGTTTGATTTCACTAAGAAAAAACAAAATTTAAACAGGAAAGCCATGAAATTTTTACAGGTACTACTAGTTTATATATAATTGTATATCATATTACTGTTAAGCTAGCAGTACATGTGAAAATTTGTTTTCCTATATTCTGAATTTTCTGAGGAGTCATAATTCTTAATTTAATGTTCCTTGCAATTTCCATGACTATAAAATACCCATTAAAATTTCCCTATTGCATTGTTAAACACTTGAACTTAAAAACATTAACATGTCATAATTATTAACAGAAGTTATTATTTAAATGCTTGTAATAAGGTATAAATGAAAAGATTAAAAATTAACAAAGTTTTCCATTTCACTGAAGCAAATGTTGTTATTGCATTCTCTATTTCCTTTACTTTATTTTCTTCTTATTTATTATTATGTTTGCTTTCTTTTTCTTACTGATATCTTTTTCTTCCATCTTTCCCCACAGTCAAAACAGAATTGTCCATTATTTATCTGAGGTAATGTCAGGGCATATGAATATAATGTCATTAAAGATTTGCTATCAAGTCCATTGTAAAGCCACATTTCTGCAATACCTATTGGAAACAACAAACACTTTATACTGACTATAAAAATGCCTACAATAACATGATCAGAGATTATATCATTAATAATAATAGTTCAAAAGTTATGTATATAATTGCTTAATGTAATAGGACGGGCCATTTGTTAAATAAGGTTTAATTTTCAAAATGCCAACTACATTTTTAACTAACCAAGGGCTGTTCCATATCCTGCAGTTGCCAATGAGCCTGTATTGCAGTGTGTCAGTACAGAAACAGGTTTGTCATTACTACGTTCCAAGATGACGTCTGCTCCATGTTTACCAATGCTTTTGTTATCTGATACATCCTTCTCCAGCATTTCTTTCACTTCAGCTGTAAACCTAAAAGATAATAAAGATTACTATATAATTTGGATTTTCTGTATGTCTGCATGTGAGTTTGAAAATTTAAAATTCTATAACATTTTATGTGGAATTCTATATGTTGACTTATTTAGTGATTGTACAAAACTGAATTTTTTTTTTTAAGATGAGGCTATTTCACAGGTCTTGGTAAAATAGACCCCCAGGGTATTTTTCTGGTAAGTATTTTTATTATTATGAAGGCAGGTAATGTTAAAAATAACACACAGATTTAACACACAAGTTTATTTATTTTCACCATCAATTGTTAAAACAATTTACAATCTTTTCCATTATCAATTATTAACCCACAAATTAAAATCACTTATTCATCATCAATTATTAAAAGAAATATAGAAGACACTGAATATTTTCAGCACTTCAGGCATAACAGTCTCTGTAAATCCCAAAATTGCCCTGGGGCATTGTTCTCCTGCCAATACATTTCAGGTGCACCCACTGAAGACGAGTTACAGACAATGTTGTTCAAGTCCTGCCTACACCGCTCACACAACCCTTGTACTGATGATCTCAAATCTAATATATTCTTAGCTTTAAAACACTATTTATATTTACCAGTTAAATAGCCTTGTTGCCTATTTTATCAGGGCCCACCAAATAGCCTATTCATTTTTTTTTAATAATTTACATCCATGTTCAGTGTTATTTTATCCTAAAGTGGAAAGTGTGTGTGTGTGTATATACATCAAAGCCAAATGGAAAGTCCAAAGGATCTATCTTTTTTTTTATAGACAAAATTTTTTACAAAAGTCTTACATAGGCTGTGTAAGATTGACTATGAAGGTCATTTGAGGTCACTAGAGGTTATCGAAGAGCACATGACATTTCTAGTCAAAAGAAGCCATTTTTAGCAAAATTTACTGAGATATTGAGTTTGCTATATTGGCATAGTGATTTCTTAGGCATCTAGTTATGATAAGCTGTTAGGTTAACCTCAGAAATCCAGTATATCCATTGGCTTTTTAGCAAAATGGTCTAATAAAGCAGCTGATCATTTTTTAGATCAACTGTCTCACATTTGAGATCAAAAATGGCCTTCAGTTTGTTGTTAACTGGGGCAAGAAATGAATTTTAATGCTTCCAAAATGAAACTGCTCTTTTAACTGTCTTAGAGAACATTTGTCTTCCATCAACATGACTGATGCTAACATCCAAGAGAGTAACTCACTGTGCCTTCTCGGACTAATTACTAAGCCTGCTCAGTAAACCCTTGAGTCTTTGTTGCTTTATTGTCTTGCTTGGGGTGAAATAATTAAAAAAAAAAACAAAAGTACTAAAATGTTTTTGACCTTACAAATAGCAGAGAAAACCAAATTCAATCTCTAATGTCATTGGCTGTAGAATTAGTTGGTGTCCTTCATGGTCTATATTGTAACCAAACAATTAGAGGCAAATTGGTACATAGGGTTAAATTAGGCAGCCAGTTGTTCTGGGATTGGATCAATATGCCAAGAAATACAACATATTCCAGGCTTTGTTAGAATAATTAAACTTGTTCTTTGTGTTGGTATTATTAACACAGTATTTCAGCCAATCTATTCTACAGCCAGCATCAAATGAGGAAAGAGACAAATCTTTTTTTTTACATATCAAATATTTCTTATTACTATACCTGTTATTCCCCTTGGTATTACTGGTTAGTGGCACAGTGGAGTAATGGATAGTGGCTTGGATTGAGGAACTGGAGAGCCGAGTTCGAATTCTAGTCGAATCCATTACATTGACTTACATGTTAATACTCTTGGGAAAGATATGAATCCTCTTCTTCCCCCCACCTCAGCTATGGGTAAATGGCAGGACAGACTGGGTTCTATAGCCTTGGATAGCAACTGGTCTACCACCGAAAAAATGGCAACCTACTGTGGAAAAAAAAATCTACCTTTTCAGTTATGTATAGAAAGATACATGATTGCTTAAGTGTGTATCATGTATGGCACATAACTGACTGATTACTAGTTATGTGATATGATTTTGGAAATCTTTGTAAAAATTGTAGATTTCCAGTGCCTCTCATGGTCATGTAATGGTGTCAACACTGTGTAAGTGTGTTTCTTCTTTTAACTATTGTTCACCCAATACAAGGCTCAAGAACTACTCAAAGTAGAAGATTACTAAGTGAGGTTGTAAGGATATACAGAGTGGAAGCAATAGGACTCTCAACTTAAAGGGGTTAAGATTGTAGTGATCAGGGAAGCATCCTCTTGGGTGTCTATTCCACAATGCAACAGTTGGAGAAGAAGCTGATTGAGTGGAACTTCAGGCTCACCAATGGAATATGAAAAGAATTAGAATAAGTTGACTTGGTGTATGTGGCTTGACAGGTCTTAATTGAAAGTCTGGACTGGTGGAACCAAGGAATATAGTTCACCCAAACATATGCCATGAAAATAGTGGTAGAGTAATGAGAGGCTAGCGATGTTTCATAGGTGGGTAATAGGTTGTAGGGTGGAAAACAATTCATTACCTACAAAGCTGCATAAACACTTTCAAACTCTATCAAGGCTGGAAAGTGAGGATTTGGCAGCTCCAGCCCAAATTTGGCAGCAATACTCCACTTTGGGTCTAATCTGACTTTTGTAAAGACAGAGCATAGTAAGAGGAATCAGACCCAATTGCAGGCACATTCAGGGGCTCTTGGACTGCCAGTGTGTGAAACTTATGGGCATATTAGGGCACTTCTGGCCTCAAAAGGTTAAAATAGTGGAAACAGTGAGTATATGTCTTTGAGTAGACATTCCAGTTTATTTACAAGAGTGAAATTAATGTCTACAAGCCTAGATCATCAAAAGTCTTATTAAAGAAAATGTAGCTTGGGTAAGAGATGGTAATTTCACTTTAAATAAACAGGAATGTCTAAACATGTGTATTTATTAAAATAATGTTTATGGTAATAAGAAATATTGTTGGATTAAGAAATGCATTAATTGCTTAAATTACAATATTAAATGTAACATCAACAAGACAAAGAAGGTCAGTTGTCTGAAAAAAAAAAAAACAAAAAAAAAACAAACTTGGAATTTTAATGACTCTTTTAAAGTTTTTTTTTTTTTTAAGCATTTCACCCCAAGCAAGGCAGGAGTTCCACTAGCACGCAGGGGGTTATGGAGAGTGAAAGTGAGAAAAAAGAGTGGGTGTAGGGGAGATTAAGAAAAGAAAAAAAAGTCAGGGATCAAAGCAACAAAAGATGGCAATTGATGTTGCATTTAAATTTTTGAAGATTGTAGTTATCAGGGAAGCAAGTCCGAGGAAGGGAGTTCCAATGTCAGAAAGTATGAGGAAAGAAACTGTTGGAGTAGAAGTGGTGGTTACATTTAACTATTTCAACAGTAAATGGGTGGGACCTAGATACCAATCTCGTAGCATGCTTAAAAAAAAGGTTGTCAGAACAGTGGCCATGAAAATATTTGTAGAAAAGACAGAGGGAAGCCACATCATGTCTGTGAGAGAGTGTTTCGAGTCGAGAAGCAAATTCAGGACCAATTACATTACAGATATTACTTTAGATTTTGTTGAGAACCTCGAGATGAACAGCAGGGGCACCAGACCAGATATGGCAACAGTATTCAATGCAAGGATGAATGGTAGATTTGTAGATGTGTGGGATGTCTCTGACAAGAAAAACCTTCTGGCACAACACCGTGAACCAACTTTCCTTGCAGTAGATGCAGTTATTGATTCAATGTAGTTGTTCCACTTCAAGTAAGTTGAAAACATGAGGCCAAGAAGGCGTAGTGAGATGCTCTGGTGGAAAAGACCTGACATAGAGATTGGTCAGGTGGATGGGAAACCAAAGACAATAAGGGGAATGTTGAATATCAGTGAAAATAGGATGGACAAATAGTGTCCACAAATTCTATGTGACCATGGATCTCTGTGGGGAGGTGATTTTAGAAGAGGATTGGTTGCATCAACATAAGGCACAAATAAGATTCAACCCTGCAGTATTAATAGTTGATAACGTATGTCAGTATCGGTAGTGGTTGATGACATAAAGTTACCTCTTAAGATGGCAGTGTCAGGCAGAGGTAGGCTGGTGACAAGGAAAAGATTTGGGGAAGGAATTTATCAAATAACCTCTGTAGAGGAATATAGCCCTGAAGAAGTGGCCTTGTGTGAAATGGTGGTGGAAAATGGCAGAAGTAGTGCCTGTTATGTTGTCCAATCTGGCTACAAGATACCAAAGGGGGAGAGGTAGGAAAGGCCCTGCCACTAAGGTCTATACAACAGCTAAGGTATGAAAATGTGGGAAAGAAAGGACCAGATCAATTAGGAGAAGTAAAGGACAATGAGATAATAGCCTCTGAGAAGTTTAGGGCCAGAATAGGGTGTCTGTTGAGAGCCAACCATGATGTGAGCTAGGACAACATACATAGTAATGATGCAAATTGATACTGACGATCAAGCACCAATCAAGATGAGGCTCTATAGGAGACAGCTATTGGAAGAGGCAGTCCGAGACATGTTAGAGTCAAGAATGATTGGGAGAGGTGAGTTGCTTTGGAGCTTTCCCATAGTAGTAGTGGATAAGAAAGATGGTTGGAACAGGTTCTGTGCCGATTTCAGGAAATTGATCTCAAAATCACTGGCAGTCCCCCTGCTGTTAACAGATGATATACTGGCCCTCCATCATAGATCTAAGATCAGGTTATTGGCAAATGGCCTTTGATGAGGCCTATAGAGAAAAAGCTGCATTTGCATACCACATGGGCCGGTTTCAATTCAGGGTAATGCTGTTTGATTTGGCCAATGCCTCAGGTATTTTTCAGCAGTTAATGTTCATAGTGCTGAACGGAATTGAGGATTTCGCTATGGCCTATCTGGACGACATACTGGTGTTCTCGGAAACATCTGAACAACACTTTGACCCCTTCAGACAGGTATTGGGTCGATTAAGGAAGCACAGGTAAGTGCCAGTTATTAAGGGAAGAGACTAAGTACCTGGGATTTATTATAGATGGAAACAGGATTAAACCCAACCTAGACAAGGTGGAAGTGATAAGTGAAAAGCCAGAGCTGAAGACAGTAAGGCAGGTGAGAGGATTCATAGAAGCCATAGGTTATTATAGGTGATTCAAGCCAGCATTTTCATGGCTGGCAACCCCTTTAATAGTGTTAACCAAGAAGCATGCTAGGTTCAAGTGGATGGAGGACTGTCAAAGAGCATTTGACTGCCTGAAAGAGCAGTTGACTGTCATCCCCTTGCTGACATATCCAGACCTTAGCAGCTCAATGGTCCTTTACATAGATGCTAGTGAGCAGTGTATAGAAGCAGTCTTTACCCAGCCTGGACAGGGATGGTCCAGTGCCAGATATACCGGAGGAGGTACCGGGGTATTTTCTATCACACAAGCTCCCTGAAATGCAGCAGAGATGGCCAGTGATAGAGAGGAAGGCATATGCTATTATGTATGCCTTACAAAAGTTAGACTGAATGGGGTAGTCTTTACTATTAAGACTGATCACAAACTACTCCAATACTTATTAAAGGCTGACTGGACAAACAAAAAGATCCAACAGTGGGCACTGAAATTAAGTGGGTATCACTACAAGATAGAGTACCTAGCTGGTAGAGACAATAGCTGTGAAGATCTTCTATTGAGGATTCTAAAATAGTTGAATGCATAATCTGTGAGAGTGGAACTGGGGGTGGATGATAGAGCCTACCAAATAAGGGTAATTAACTCAAATAGGCTAAAAGACCATCCTGTGTTGTAGACAGAGACAGAAGAAACTGCACAAGTTGTGGCTGAACCTCACTGGATGGAAGAGATAAAGAAGGGTCAGGAGGATAGTGAAATAGTTGCCCTCGGGGTAAAGGTAAAAGCAGGAGAGACCTCTAGGTATGCAATGCATGATGGGATGCTATATTGCCTCTCGGGGAGGGATGAAGAGATAAGACTCAGACTGTATGTGCTCATGGAGCTCAGAGCTGAGATATTAGAACAGATTCATGAAAAATTAGGTCCCATGGGGATCGATAAAACATGTGACCTAATGGGGAGAACTTATTATTGGCTTGGACTGAGGTCACCAACCACGTTCAGAATTGTGTGGTGTGTCAGGTCCAGAGTAGAAGACAGGAGATGGCCCCACTAGAAGAGACAGATGTCTCAAACTTCCCTTTTGAGAAGGTTAGTATGGATGTGTTGAGACCATACAGGGAGATCTCTAGAGGGAATGTGTATATATTGAGCTTTGCAAATTGGCTAACAAATTGGCCTGAAACATATGCTGTGCTGATAAGAAAGCTCAAACAGTGGCTGACCTAGTGATGAACAAAATATTCCCTAGGCATATTGCCCCTGTGTAACTAATTATGGACAATGGACCAGAAAATGTGAATAGAATAGTGGCCAAAGTCTTGGCAAGTCTGAATACAGTACATATAACCACTTCCCCATATCATCCCCATGATAACACAAAAGTGGAAAAGTTCCATAGAACCTTGGGAGATATATTAGCTAAGTTGGCAAGAGATAATGCCAGGAATTGAGACCTTTTATTTGACATAGGACTAGTTGTCCATAAGGTTTACAATGAATGAAACCTCTATGTTCTCGCAGAACTATATGTTGTTCAGTGGATAATTTATTAAAACTCTATAGGAAGTATATGGGAGATGACCACCACTAGTTAATAATCAAACAGCTGTATAGGTTGTTTACTCAGGCCAGGAGGAGGATAAAGAAAGTACAAAAGAATATAAATGAGAGGGTGAATAGAGGAAGGAAAGAGGTAGAGTTAGGGGTTGGGGACCCTGTATTCTACAAAATTCCCCTGAGAGAAGGAAAATTGGGCCAGAGGTGGAAACCCTGTTATAAAATAGTGGAGTAGACGGGTCCAGTGTCATTTATAATCTTGGATCAAACAGCAGGGAGAGGTTATATCTTGGTTGCTGTAGACCAAGATTGATTCTGAGATTACAGTCAACAGTTTTTGTGATATAACAATTTAATTGCACTTACATCACATATTCAGATTTTTCAACAACTCTGTCAGGACTCCAGGGATTTGACAATTTAAATCTCTTAAGAGCTGATAGGGTTAAAGTAATAAATAAATGTAGATATATTCTTGATGCTTAAAAGATTGAGAAATGTAATAAAATACTCACTTTTCCACCAACTGATCAACAGTCACATCTTCCTGTGAAGACATTACTTTAACAAGCATTGAGAGTCTGCATGCTGCTTCTTTCATATTAACAGCTGTTGGCCGAGCAGTCACCAAATACTCCAATTTGTTGGTAATAAAATTACAGACACTGGCCACTGTAGAGAAATTGTGTAAATGGGTTTTCAGCTCAAGAACCAAGCCAAGGCATCCAACAATAGCAATAGCTGGTGCCCCACGCACCTGACAAAATGAAAACCACAAAATAGTAAAAGTGTAATCAATTTACAAATGCTACAATATTGCCATATAATAAAATTTTTATAAGTTTTTCAAAAAAGAAAAACATCAATTCTTCTCAACTGGTATTTACTAGGGGGGATCTATTTTCATGATTTTCTAGTTCAACCCTTAAAGACAAAAAAAAGTTATTAATCAAATTAGGCATATTGAGAATAATGTTTAAAAAATTGGCCTCCATGACCATTTTTCATTGGAGTCAACGGCATTCTGGATAATCCTTCACATGGGATTATCCATATCTGTTGAGAAGTCTAATATGTTTTTTGTTTTACATACTATCTGCACCCCATTTTGGCATCCCGAGGCAGTGTAATGGCTAGCAAGCTTGTCTCGCTAGAACAATTACGACTGAGTAGTGAGTTTGATCCTCACTGGGTGCCCCATACTTTCGGCCTTGTGCCACATCTAAGCTACACTTGGAAAATCACTATCTGCACCCCATTTTTGTACAGCTTTAGGTAGCTGAGTTTTGAATTCAGAATAAGCTTTCTCCTAAACTGGTTGCCAACCATAGTTAGAAAGTCCAGTCTAACCTGCTATTTAATCCATAGTTGTAGTGAAGTGATGGATTCTTATCTTTTCCAAGTGCAAAAGTAAATATAATGAACTCAACCTGAATTTGAGCTTAGCTTACCTATTTCTCATTCCAAGCTACTATTATACTACCTTCACATCCATATTTTAAAAAATTATTTATTCATTAAAATTATAGAAGATGAATATCATGAAGTTGTATACAACAAAGATAGAAGTTCAAAAATTTACAATTTCATTTTTACAAATGAGTTCTTGAAATAGAAGAGTCTGGGAAGCATAGTTGACTTATTTTTACATTTCATTAAAAATGCCTTAAAAATTATGTAAAGTCATAGACAGTATAGACAGTGTGAAGTAATTCAATAATTTCTATTTTCAATCCCAGTCAACAGTTTTCTTTATTCTGATTGGTTGGAAACAGATTTGATTATTCTAATTTTGTATACTTGATAAGTTGTATGTTGAACAGCTCAGTTCAACCATTTAGGAAATTATTTAACTTCAATAATCAGATTAATTGCATGGATTCATCAGTTTTAGTTGCTATAATGCAGCACATTAATAATTATAATGACAAAAATTCAATAACACTTTAATTACATTCATATTTACTTTCAATCTTTCATTATATAAATAATTTCTAGAGTTTGTGAGATTTATTCTCCATTTACTATTGTACTTTTGAAGAGTGCATTTTGTTTGGAACTGACTTCTACAAAGTTGTAGAGGCTCTAAATTGTTCTTAAGACTTTGTGAAGTGGTTCAGTATCAGTGATTGTATCTTTGATAACAAGATTTAGGAAATGTCCATAACTGTACTCATCTCTTTTCTAAGTAACTTGTGACAGGCTGTTGGGTTACAATGGTACCAGCAGTAAAGAAGAATTCTTGATCTGACCGACTGGATTGAGATGGATTCATGACTTTCTCAATTTTCTTCTATGTGCCATGTCTCTTCAGGACGTGGTCGATCACAGCTCTCCACAATTTCTTGTTCTTTGTAAAGTTTGTCTTTTTGCTATCTCTCCTAACTTCTGTTCTGCCAATCATTTACACAAGCTCATTAGGTACATTATGCACAGCTTTCCTCTGTCCCTCTTGTCTTCAATATGTCTGTGAGTGTTTAATTTTCTAAGCCCGCTTTCCTCATTATGTGCCCTAGAAATTTCAATTATCTCTTTCTGATGTTAAGTATAAGTGTATTTTTGTTTTCATTTTCTCTAAAACAGCCACTGTTCATATGTTCAGTCCATGGCATTCTCAGCATCCTTCTGTAAAACCACATTTCTGTTGCTTTGAAGCTCTTCTTCATCAGAGGAGATTGCTCAGCATTCACTGCCATAGAAGAGGACTAATATTACATAACAGTTCACCATGGTCAGATTATGACGTAAATGTATTGCAAATTTATTAAATAAACTAGAATAGCCTTCTTTTGTTTGTCAATAAAAATATTCAAGAAATACCACTATTTTAGTATTTATTGTAAACCACCATTGTTACCAGCATGCTGATTGAGATTCACTTTGTGACTTTCTTTGAGACACCCTATGGATTGATATTTTTCACCTTCCTATTGAGAATTGTGCCAATGAGGTTTCTTCTTGGGTCAAACATAGATGCTTTTATTCTTTCTCAGAAATACTATGTGAAATCACCATCTTCTCTGTTGTTCACACCAGCATATTCTGGTGCTATCCTTGGTCTTAGTTTGTTTTTAATTTTTTTTTTAATTCATTGTTTATAAAAAGCTTGAGGAGTCCTAGACTGTAGTCTATACTAGTCTAAATGATAATCCAGCCCTGCAGTTCAGTACACTTTTCTCAGCTGTGTCTCTAATGAGAATTTCCTGTTTCTTAATACTTTGCTTAGCTTTTAGGTAATTTTTATGCCCCTTCTGATTTCGGTGTTTTATTTTCCATCTTCTGTTAAAACACTTCCTAGATATTAAATTTAAATCTTTGTACTTGATTGATTTTGGTATTTCCAATTTGTAATTTGCATCTTGGGCTCTTGCATCCTGTTCTTGCAATTGATGTTAATTGTTTAGTCCTTTCTTTTCATTTTCCTTTTATTACGTCCTGTAGTAATTCCTGTAGTTTCCTATCTGTGTCAGCTATTCAATACTGTCATTTGACTTTCCCAATAAAAAATTAATGCACACAAGTGAATACAAAAATTACAGAGGCCAGAATCTGAGTGTGGTTAATTTAATTTTCTGTTTCAATATTTGCACTGATACTTGGTTCTGAATATTAGTACAAATGATTAGAAAAAAAAGGAATATTAATTAAATCTCTAAATGAATTTTCATTTTTTTTTTTTTAAGAAATAATTGCTGCTAATTGGTATTTATTTATTTATTTATTATAAGTTTAAGTTTAAGAAAACGAAATTCTTTCTAAATTTGCATTTATTTTATTTTTATTTATGATGCATTATGGACATGGTCAATTATAAAAATAATAAGACTCAACTAAGATTGTTAAAATTTTTAATGCTATTTTTGGAATAATCAGGCTTTTCTACAACAGGAATGATGATTTTTTTTTTAAATTGGCTTCTGAGTCCTAATCTGAATTTTACCAAACTACCTGTTGAAAATTAAAGCTCATGTATGCTATGACAAATAAATTATAAAAGTTGGAAGTATTCAATGAATTTTTCCCTTAAAAAAACTTTTTTTTTTACCAAGTTGATACCGAAGTTGAACGCAAACAAAATAATAAGTCACTACTTATCATCATAAACTGTTTCAATTTGAGGCCATGTGTTGTTCTCTCATCTTCAGTGACATTGTATACGGATTCAACAATATTTTGCCAGCCTTCTCTGTCCTCTGCAAGTTTGCAGATTTGTTGCAGATTGTTGCATTTGAATTACTAGTTTTATTTGGGAAATTTTATTTAGAGAAAATTAGTATATTGAAATAAAATATAAATTTGAGGACATTTTTCGAAAGTTTTGGTTGTGAATTTGTAGGTGTAAGAAAATGTACTGAAATTTTAATGATGCCCATCTGAAGTCAAAGCAGATGATAGTTCTTTGTTTTGCCCCACTTTTTTGTGAATTTGGAAGCTGGGGAAGGCATTTCTTTTTAATTAGAGGAAATTATCCTCAGTTAGAAAATTATTCTTGGTCGAGAGACGTTTTGTTTTCTGGCTTCGTGGTAAAATGTTTTACCACGTAAAATAACTGCTACCTTGAACTAAAGAATGTTCGACTCAGTGTCAAATTAATTAATTATTTTCAGTAAATTTGCTTTTTCAGCCCCGCAAAGAAAATCTATTATAACTTTCCGAAATCGTCATATTTTTGTGTGTAAAAAAAATGTATATGCTGAACTCGAAAATAACACCCAAATTTTGATAAAACCTACCGTTTTGAAGTTTTCGACAATAAAAATTCGGACTCAGTTGCATTGATTCGTTTGCCATTACGGGCCTTGTTTAACTACATTCACTGCAGAACACTTTACTCGCAGAGGCGTAATTAACGTCCTACTGCTTTTTCTGATCTTACTCGTGCAAATTACAACGCACTGTCGGAAAGCGATGACAAGTGGTAAATAAAGCTTTGTTTAAATTAAAAAACAAAAAACAAATGAAATAATAAAATAAAGTTTTTCTTTTACTTTAAAAATAAAACAAATAATAATTAATGCGCAAACTTTGCTCAAACTTTGAAAAGAGCATGATTATTATTAGGTTTGAAATTGTCTGTTTTACTTTTAAAAGAAATAAAAAAAAACACTTTACTTTACACAGACAATTGTAAGTAAACCTTTTTGTTTAATATTTTGTTTTGTTACCTTAATGGAACAATATGCATGCAATCAATATTTTGTGTTAAAATAAAGGTTTATAATCTCTGAATTTTATATTTTTGAGTTATTTTTTAAGTCGATCGTATCAATAAAAAGATCGTCTGCTTCTTCATTTATTTTTTTTTTTTTCGGTGAAGAACGCGCCGAGGACAAAATCGGCTGCTTTGCCTTGTGTTTTATCTTAAGAAATTTTTTTTTTAAGTATATTAATTTAAGATCATACACAGGTAAAAAATTATTTTTTCTTCATTATTGTTGTTAACGGTGTTACGCGCCACGCCACGTGGATTTGAAATCTGTACTGACTTACTTCACGATTTTAGTGCTAACTAAATTTAAATCTCCAATGACACTCAGTTTCAGTAATAAATCTTTGACACTCAGTCATTTAAAGAAGAACTAAAACAAAATCTATCTTAAATTTAAAATTCAAGGTTCACTTAGTAGGTAACAAAATAAAATGTGTGTTGTGAACTTCTTAAACTAACGCTCTGAAAAAAGAAAGAAGTAATAATCGACTAATAATCCAAACCTTCATATCTTTGATGGCATTCCATGCATCTGCAGTATCTTTTATATCCACATAGATAAACGACTGGGGCAATAGAAGCTGATCTAAGATTTTTAGGCATCCTTCTTCATATTTTATAGCTATAAGAGTCGCAGCCATTTCTGAATAAATATTAACAGACAATGGAGATAACTCATACTAACTAAACGATACGGAAATTTTTAGTTGATTTAAAAACGGAGCAACAAATAAGTTATCATTTAGAACCCCTTTTTTAGTCAGATGTACATGTAATTAACCATAAAAAATTAAAAATGAATTATAATAGATTAAAATATTCGCATTATAATTCATTATGTGAATTTTTTTTTATTAGTTATTACAAAAATAAAATAATTAAAAATAATAATTAATAAAATGTTTTAAATAAATAAATTATATTAATCGTCTAGGTTAGTATTTTTTAGAGAAGTGTATTGTAAAAGAAAGCCAGACGGGTTTATGAAAAATTGTTACATTTCTCTGTGAAATTTTCTAATTTTTAGAATTGGCTGTGAAATATTTTGTTCAAGGTTATTGTTTCAAATTTATTTTTAAATTAAAAATAAAATACTATTTCTAACTATTATCCAATTAAAAGCATGGTCTTATGCCCACATAAATTTGAAGTTAATGTCTTACTGTCTGGAGCCCCTTCAATTGTTATATAAAGAGAAGAGTCAGCAGATAATCTTCAGGAGGTAAACAAATTTCAGAGAAGAAGAGTGTAATATAAATTCTTGATCTGAAATGTCAAGAATAAAGTAACAACATTTTTCAACCAAAACAGAAGATGAAGTGGCACAAAAATCTTGTCCTGAAAGCAGAATGATAGCCCAAGAAGAAAAAGCAATTTTTTGCTGCCACCTGAGAAGCATGCATAAAAAAACTGTGTTCCATAAAATATAAATTGTAACAAATACCTAAGACACATGTGGTTTGAAATTATCAAGGCTAACTTTGCGCTGATTTTTTGTCTTTCTATTAGTTGGGTACACCACTTTTTTCAAAAAGTATTTTCTGCCTTATTTGAAGTTGACATTACATTCTCAAAGTTTCTTTTGTATTTTTCAAAGATTGTTTTGAAATCTTTTATATTTTTTGATGTTATTTTGCCTTGTTTTTTTTTAATAAGGCACACAAAAGGAAATTTTTGTGCAAACCTATCTTGTAAAATATAATTTTATATACTGTTTTGTAATGTTTGTTCTTTTAAATTTCAGTTATGAGACTTATTTTTATATGCACCTTTGTTAAAGTATCTTTCGCTATATTTAATAATTACATAATATAGAATTTAATTAGTGATACCATTTTAATATAATAGAGACACCATAATGGTGTTATTATTATAGTAAAATAGTTTTTAGTCTAACTAAATTTATGAACATTTTTGTAGAGATTTACTAGTCTTTTTCCCAATGTTAAACTGATAGTCAGAGTTAGTAGCAAAGACCAATGGCAAGAAAAAAGTAGTTTAAGAGTATATATAGCACTAACAGTAATGAATTTATTCAATGAAACAATCTGAAAGAGATAAGTGTGTTAGTAATGAAAAAGAAAAATTGCCAGTTGAAAGAAAAATTAAATTCTAGCAAATTAGTCAAATAGGCTTTCTTAAGACAAAAGTTGCTTGTTCAAATGAAATTAAGACATTTGAAACATTCATGAAATGTTTTGTAGAAAAGTATTTCCAAAATGATGTATTTTACTTGTTCAAATACAAATCTATGCCAGTTGTTATACTCCGTCGCAAATCTCTTTCTGATTCATTCTGCATGCTGGCTAGATGTGAACACCACAATGGTAGAGAATGAAATAACAAAAGTTGTTTTCTGTGCATTAGGCTCCACATATCTTGTTCAGTCTATGAAGCGAGCTCCAGTAGTAGCTAATCACAAACATTCCCACTATCAGACCCACTTATAAACAGGTCTCTGAGAACAACACCAGCAGTTATGGCTTGGTGCAGCCACCAGCCATCACGAAGGGCGCTACTGCTGCTGCTTCCACCATTACCACCATCACCACCATCACTCAACATGACTGCACCTCTCAATGACTGTTACCACTCCCAGACTTGACTAACCACCTCAATAATCCAGCTTCATGTTGATAACATCTCAATCTCATCAAACACCGACAGGATAACATCTCAACTTCACTTCTTAACGCTCGCATCCTACACATCGGCAAAGTCATATTCATGATGTCTCCTGGCTCCTAACATTTGTGCCCTATGCATTAGCAAAATCAGATTCATGACTTCTGCTGACTCTTAACACTCATAAACATCTCGGCAACCCACCACTGTTACTTCAGCATAACCAACACGTACGAGGCATTCCTTTGCGGTTATTACAGTGACTCTGTTCAACAGAACAGTCCTACCAAGCACACCAATCTGACATCACCCCTGTTTCACAGAACAGGCCTACCAACCAACGTAAATGGCCTACCACCATGACTTCAATCAACCACCCTGCACCGACCATATTCTGTGACATTATACCAAACCCACACAAGAATTAGGTCAACTTCCAGTGCTACCCTTATACCTGGCTGCCATCCTGACAACTGGCCACTGAAACAGACATTCTACCCATCCTTCAATATCTCTGTATGACATGCCAATAATAAAAGTTGTTCAGATCTAAACCTTGTTATTCCTTTCTCTCTCTACCAAATGCTTAATATAACACAGTCAAGATACCAAGGCTTTAGACTGAAGCTGGTTATAATGGGAGTAAAACAGTAGTATTGATGTTAGTAAATATTTTATCTATCAGACTCAAATTTTGTACAACTGTTGGATCTATATAGTCCTGAAAAGTCTTTGAATTTTTGTGAAAAATCATTGTTTATAGAGAGCCTAATAATGTATTTTCTATAATCTTTTCAGATTTATTCAATAACAAGATACAATGTACAGAGCTGCTACAGATAATTAATTTTTCAGGATTATGGAGGGTCATAATAAAGTGAAACCAATGAAATGCATAACTAAGAAATTAAGGATTTCTGAATTTTTAAAAATTAATCACTTTCTTGTTAATAAAAAAAATTATATTTTTACACAATTACAAATATTGTTACAACCACCAGAAAAGATTTACCAATTACATTTTTTTATGAAGTTGATATTATTCTGTGAAAAAGTTTCTCAGAATTTTGTGAAAGACACTTGATTCACTATTTTTTTTTTCTTATGGATTGTTAGTTTTACACAAATACCTATGTAATTATTTTACATCTCCAACTTGAAGAACTACATACACACCTAATTAATAGTGTTTAATTAGCTGTGAATGATTAGGGGGAATGTTGAAGTGATTCTTCCTTGAAAGCAAGAAGCAGTGGTCATGGTTTTATGATGTGAAGTCCAATGTGGAGAAAAATATGACTTGGGTGGCACACACTGTAGCTATGCCAGTGTTCAGCATAATTGCAGTATAAACCACAGACAGTGATGTGGAAATGTTTGGTGATGCCCAAAGTCAACTCTTTGATTGTATGCCCCTAAGACTCGAGCGGTGGTGGGGTCTATAGGGCCTAGTAGTGAGAAATGTGAAATGACATTTTAAATGTGTAAAAACAGATGAAGCATAAAATAAACACTTTATTCAAATTAAATATAGAGTAAATTTCTATTTCGATCTTTGATTGGATTCCCTCCTAATATGGATGCCAGGGGTCGTCACATTCTCTGCCTCTCATCCCCTCTGTACACTACTGATCACAGGTGGGTGTTGAATGAACACAAATATACCTGAGTAGGTATCTGTGCAACAGGAACTGGCTAGCTATCCTAGAAGATGAGTGTACTTGGAAAAGTATCTGGCCATTATATGTATGTATGTATGTACACAGCTTAGTAGCCAGTTGGTGGTTTAACTAGACATTTCAAAAAACTCAAAGATATATTTCACTTGGTAACTTTGAAAGATGGACCAAGTGTCTCATCTGCAAATGATCATGCAAGACAGGTTGAGCTGAAGGGTTATAAATGTGCATATTGTTGTGTGGTAATCAATAAAGCAATGATGTTCTAAAAAAAGACACAATCATCATGTATGTATGTATGTTATGTGTGTTTACTTTCTGACCATGAGACCTCTGTTTGAATCTCACCATGATTGATTTGTCAATGAAGTGACTTTTTGATGCTATCAGCCTGGGGAGGCAATCCCAGAGTGTGGCACTGTTGAAAAGTGTCTTAAAAGCACATTATGGTTTGACTCAAGCCCTGTGAGTCAAATTGGGTAGATGGTATTGTTCAGATGGTTGTACTAGCATGAAATCACAAGTCATCATCAGTGTACTGATCTTGTTCAAACTGGAGATCATGCCAGAAAGTCAAATTTTGTACTCTTTCCCATAAACTGTAACTAAGGTTTGCTTAGTATACAGACAGTAGACTACAGGTGGGTTGAGTCAGTGTTGAACAAACAAATGTTTTTAACCAGACATCTGCAACAGGAATTGGCTAGACGCCCAGACAGATATTCTGTATTTATGTATGTATGTATGACAATGTTATTGTATATATGTCGTATTATCAGTTGTTTGACGTATTGATTTTTTTGCACAGGTTTGTATTTTTCCAATTTAGTTCAATCAGGTTTTTGTCATTTTTTCTTATCTACTGTATCACTGGTTAAATTATTGAAATCGATTAATTCAGACGTATTTTTCGAAACAATGAAAGCAAAATAAAATAATTATTTAAATTGGAAAATATCGATAGAGAGACAGAAAGTGAAGGTATTGCATCACTTATGTTCATCCGTATATAAACCTCACTGCTGAAAACAAGAGTAGAATAACCTGACCTAATAAAATAAAAGCAGCAAAGCGACTGTATCATAACAAAAACACGGCCATAGAGAGAGGACAAACAAAGTATTAATATGAATACCGAACTAAAGGAGAAGCTTGAAGAAAATGTCACATGTTCCATCTGCTTGGAAAGATACAAGTGGCCGTTGACTCTATCCCCGTGTGTCCATTCTTATTGTAAAATTTGTCTTGAGAATTACATATCTAAGATTCTGTCTAGTAAGCCATCAAGCGACGAGATTAAGTTTCCATGCCCCGATTGCCGCACAATTATAACTTTACCACATACAGGAATCGATGGATTGACACATAACCATAAACTACAAAGTATTGTAGATAGTTTAGAGCTGCATGAACGACGACAGCAGACAGAGTTGGAGACCCAAGAAAACGAAGTAAAAGTGAAGAAAACTGTACAGGACGAAGAAGCTGTTGCTAATACATCATCATCGTCGTCCACTGGTAATAACGATGATAAAGCATCTGATAATAATAATAATGGTCGAAGCCAACAGATTCCCACTGAAGAAAAAGTGGTAGGGACTTCAACAAATGGTGGGAACAATACTAGTTTTTCTCCTGATGCTAAGGTAGGTAGCGTGCCTTTTTAAATTAATTTATGAAACTTTTAAAAAAGTAAACTAAAGAATTTAACTAAAAGAATTTCAAAAGTTTTAGTTTTTTTTGTAGTAAGTACGTAGTTTGAAAATTAAATTCTAAAATGAATGAATGCAGAAATTTTATTAAAGAAATGACAAAAAAAAATATGAGGAGAACGTTAAAAAGAAAACGTTTCGAAGGTACACGGCTAAAAATAGCCTAAAAAAGTAACAATCTCAACAAATATTGTTTCAACTGTGTTGATCTATCTATTCTCTTTTCAAAATATTAAATTAATTTACTAATGAATGTATGATAGTTTTAGAGAAATCATAGGTTGAGTTTCTTTAAGTACCTATGGTACTGATTAAAATTTTATTTTGCTTTAATTTAAAAAAAATATTTTTGGCTTTTTTCTAATTTCCACAAAATCAACTTAGTCATCATGCCAATGTGAGAAAGTATGATACAAGTTGTTACAAGTCTTTTTTTTTTTTTTCCCCTGATCTTTGGACTTTAAAGCTAACAAAACAAAAGGGATCAGTAACCTAACCTAAATCTCCCGTTAACGGTTAAAGGTTGGTTATTGTCAAAGTTATGTCTACGGCAAAATCGTTGCATTTAAGGTTTTTTTTTTTTTTCCATATTTTTTTAATCTTGTTATAAACTTAAAATAAAAATGACCTTGCTATAAATTTTGAATTAAGTACTCTAAGTAAATGTAAGAAATAACTGAACAATATTGACCAGTAACAATAACATTGTTGGAAGTAAAACGTGTGACTAAAAAGTAAACTTTGAACTTATGGGAAAACCCAAACAAATAGCAATTTAAAGACAATATTTTCTTCCATGTTTTATTTTAAAAATAGTCATACTTTTTCTGTTGGTGTCTGTCTCTAAAAATTAAATAAAATCGAAAGTAAAAACTACGCTTCTTACCCCTCTTTGTTTTTAAACTTAAAAAAAGTTTCTTTTACGATTTTAGTATAGAATTTATTTATTAGATTTTCATTTTGCCAAACTTATTAAACAAATATCGACAAATTAATAATAACTCCGAATAAACTTTTTAAACACAGAAAGTGAATCGAGCAATACAAACAAAAAAACTGAAATTAACGAATAATAATAGTGACATCTGTGATAAAGAGGGTCAATAAATAAAATTCATCTCCCTCCAATTTCAAATTAATTTAATTTGTGATATTAAGTTTATATTGTAATTTAAATACTAAATTGATTGCTGACTTGAAAATTATTACAAAAATAATTGTGTATCTGTTGCCTTCTTAGTTTTAAAAAGCCCATTTATACGGTTAATAACCAAGGAATAATTAATTTCATTCAGTCTTTAGGTTTTTTAATTTTAATTGTCAGAATTTTTAGAAAAATTGTAATATTGTGAATGAATTATTAATTAAACTGCTAACTAAAATCTTAAAAGTTGATTATTGTATTTTTTTTTTATATATACATCTTTTAAAGCAAGAATTAAATACATTGTTTGTATATTACATTCGGGCGGGCTTTTATTCAATTTTCGGAAAATACGTAGAAAAGTTTACTTTCAATATTACGTCGGATTCTCCATTAACTGCTGAACATGAGATTGTTCTATTTTTTGATACTTTTGATTCAATCCAAATCTTGTCTCTTTCAAATGTCAAAATTTCAGAATTAACGTGTTGTCTGTGATTTTGAATGAAAAAAAAAACACACTTTTTTTTTTTAATACAACATAAACAAAGTGTATGAATTGAATAATTTTTCGTAAAGGGCAATTTCGTAACCTCCTTTCTTGTTTGTAGTTTTAGTTTTACTTACAGACCTTGTTTTAATAGTTCTATTTATTTTGCTTGTTGATCTTCAAAAAAGTCGTCATTATTATTAATAATTTAAAGACCATGATGGACAGAAACTTTAAAATTATGGGTCGCGAATTTGTTTAATTTCCCAGAGTCTGCTTAAGCTTTACTTAATTAACTTAGGTAAAAAAAAAAAAATCATTATTCATTGAAAAATAGAGTAAGTTCTGCTTTCTTTAGCCTTAACTAAGTAAACATTTGGGACAAAATTTAATTTCTCGAAATTTCTTTAAAATTAAAAAATAAGTGGGAGTAATCAAAAACTCCTTTTTAGTCTTTCTTTCCTAAAAAAAAAAAGTAAAGAAAGATTTTTAAGTTTGGGTCGTTTTTTTTTTTTCATCATGGTATGCCAATTTTTTTGGAAAATCAGTGGAGGTACCTAAATGTTTATAACAGTGGAGAATTTAAAATTTAAATCCATTTATTTTTGTAAAACAGGACCTCCAGTTACCGTAAAAAAAAATCTTTGATTCGTATAATAAAAAAAATGCAATAAGACATTATCTACTAATTAGAAAGGTTTTTTTTATTGAACACTCATGTCTTAATAATTCTTTTTTTTTTTTTTTTTTTTTTTTTTGATGAATAATGAATTTTTACAAGAATTTTCGTTAGAATAATTTAAAGTTTTAAATTTAAAACTTTAAATCTTTGTAATTTGTACCGGTTAGTTGATATTTTTTAAGTAAAAACTATATCTTATGGAAAAGCTTACAATTCAGAGCCCCCCGCCCCACCTAATATTTTAAAAAGAATTTTCAATTTTTTCTTTTGTGTGTATAAAATAAATGTACCGATTTTTGTAAATACGGACGTCCATACACGACTTTTTATCAGAAAGTAAGATAAAAAGAGTGATAACTACAGTAAATAAAGCCAAAGTACTTAAAATTCAATACTGCGGAGAATATTTTCCTAAATTTTTAAGATTAGTGGGTAAAAACTGAATATAAAGGTGCTCACATTATATTCCTCAAGCAAGATACATATTTTTACAGATATGTCCCTTGCAGAAAAACCGATAAACTTCTGTCTGTCAGTCAAGCTGTAAACTTCAACACCTTAAGGCTTAAACAAACATCTACCTCCATTTTAAAAAATTCCTTTCTGCAATATTTTAAACTAAAAGTTAAGTATTTTGTTTAAAATCAGATGAATTAAACTTGAAATCAGTTAATATTCCTCAAATAAAGTTTCAGTAAAATAATATTTTTGAAGTATTTTTTTATTGAATTTGTGCTGACAGATGGATAAAAATGGATAAAATTTGATTTATTATTTTATTTTATTTATTTTTTTTAGTGATTTAAAACAAAAAAAACTCCTTCTAGTCAATTTTTAAATTAGTTTTGAAATTTGACAAAGTATTTTACTTATTGTAAATATTAAATTTAATCTATTAGTTTGAAATTAAAACTGAAATAAAAGCTTCAAGAGGGATTTTTTTTTATTTTTAAAAATTAATTTGAAACCATAGGTATCACATTTTTTTGGAAGTACCTATTTTAGAGTATGATGAAGTTAGACTAAGTATAACTACTGGTACTTCAAAATGTAAATCATTAGCCTACCACATACATGAAATTTGTACACAAGATCCTGGAATTTTTTTTCTCCTTTTTATTTTTAATTTTTTTTTTTTTTAACCATTTTTAAGGATGTCTTATATTCTACCAGATAATCACCCTCAATTTCTTTTCAATTTTGAAAAAAACATTCTTATTTAAGAACTATATTTAAAAAGTTGTCATATTTTTTAATGTCATGAGTAAATCAACTATCTTGTTAGTTTACTTTTATTTTATTGAGTGTAAGCAATTACATGGTGTTTAAAGTGAATAAAAGCTTCAAACAAGGGTTTGGTTATTGTTTACTGTGTATTGATGGTTATAAGATTTGTTTCAATTTCTGGATATTGGAGGCTTGTTTCTTTATCCAGAATAGTAACCTTATAAAAATATCGGCTAGGAATAAGACATTTTTCACATAAAATTCTATAAAAAATATTTTGTTAATCAACTTTGATATAATCATTTATATTTGAATTGATGTCAAAAAGAAATTTTCTATATTTTTAATTTTTGTGCTCAATCAAAATAAAGAAAATAAACGCAATGTAAACAAATGAAAAAACACAAGACTTTCCTTGTTGAAGTATGTAAGCAAAAATTGGATGAAAGGAAAGGTGATACTATATCAGCTTACCATACTTGTACACAGGTACTTATTCAAAATAGTTGAAACACCATTTGGTACAACCATTTTAGTACTTATTGAAATTTGAGAACTAAGCTAATACTACCCATCAACCATAATAAGCCTTAATTTTTACCCCCACTTTGTATTCATTTATTTGCTTAAGGAGTTGTCTTAAGTGCACCAGTTGTGAGTCATCCCTATAATTTGATATGAGAGTACAAACAATTAAAAATACAGGTAGTGTTTTGTTAAAACAGCCCCCAAATACTTTAATATGGATGTACAAAATTATCTAATTTCCAGACAAGGTGGTATTATCATGAAATTTCTTTGAAAATACTATGGTGTTCATGATTTTGGTTCCCTCCACTCAATCACTGAAAATTATCATTAAAGCATACATAGATTTTATGTATTAAAATGAAATTATTGAATATGAAATTAAGAAAATATCTGATGTAAGTAATAACTATTACTTTTAAATCTGACACAGTCATAATATTTCTTTACTCAGAATAAAGATCATTATATAAACAGTGGTATGAGACTAGCCATCTATAACAAATATCTATCACTGACCAAAATATTAATGAACCACTTGGATTTAATCAATCTTAATTGTACAAAGAGGCAAGTAAGATGTAGCTGAAATTTTCTGTTGTAGATTACTCCCTTGAAAATTCTTCCTAATAATGAACTTATTTTTAAAAACAGTGATAGTTTTAGCTTGAGTAAAACCACCAAATTTTCCATTGACAAGATTAGTATATGTGCACTAAATTTTGTTAACCTTTTTCAGAAATACTTTCAATGATGAAGAAAATATTTGGGGATGAAGCATTTATTTGGTTGAAAAAAAAACATTCAAGCAGTATAACTGTTTAGAAAAAAAGTCAACTGTCTTGATGAATTGGAAGTTATTT